CTCTTTTGGATTGTTTCACATTCCCAATGCTGGAGCCTTTAATAGCTGACTATACAGTATGGGTTTTCTCATTGTTGAAGGGTTGTACCCTGATCTATGATTGCTTATATCCACATCATTTGAACTCTGGTGAATAGTTGTCTCGTTGGCATTCATACATCTCCTTATTTTTATATCAAAATTGTCAGATGTCTCCTTCTACCGGTTATTGCCTTAAATGACAATTGTTTTGGCCAAAAATAGAGCAGATAGAGAGAAACTGTACACAGTAAAATTGATTAGCAAGACACAATCAAATATGTTTACAGAGCCAAAATTGTCAGTCCACTTCGTATTCGAGTGACTACCCTGGAATGTTGATTTTTACCGATTGTGTTTTTTCTTAAACTTATGTTAGAAGATGGCGAGAAATTAAACAGACAAAAATATTAGAAATACAAGATCGATTATTAAAACTAGAGATTTTATCCATAAATTATATTCTAGTCTACAATGTTGGAAAGTGGCCATTGTTGAAGCTGCACACAGATCCAGGTGAGCGACACAGGCTCTAAACCTCTAGTTTTAAAAGTGAGAGAAATAATATTCCCGTGAAAATTCCCTCAATAAATACAATTTGTTAGTGCATAAATTGAATTGTGGTGTGAACTAGAAATCCAAGACTGCTGTAACATGTGAAAATAGTTTCATACAGACATATATATATGCATTAAGAAGGAAACTTATAAATAATGTCTAACAACTAATTTAAACCTGCTCCATGTTTATTGCAGTGAATATCATTTTAAGTCTTGATAATTAAAAAGATTTCAAGAGGACAATAAGAGTCCAATAGGGCCAACAATGATCCAAACAAAAATCCAAATTGAATAGAAAACTAAAGATTGAACACAACCCCATCAAAACTAGGGATGAACCAAGTTTTTACGAAAGAATCGGGAATTCCTGTTCAACTAGTGGCACTTGTCAATTTGCTCCATCTTGTGAAAAGTCCCATAAGTCAAGGAATCAACAAAGAAAGAAGGCTGCAACAAATGAAAATACCTATAACACAGATGTTTATGGTCAACCAAGTCATGATGGCATCTGTTAAACTTTCCTTAATCTTTTGTCTTAATTGGACGTCTATTGAAATCATTCATCTAGACCTTGACATCTGGCCTTTAGGGTAATAAAAAAAAATAATTTTTGTACTCTTGACTCATGAACAGTAATCAACTAATCAAATTACTAGATTTGCTGTTTAGAGCACAAACTTTGTACTAGGAGTACTAAGTAAAGTTTTATGACCAGAAGGCCTGGTATTGACACATCTATAAAAAAAGCTTTATTCAACATTTACCATTATCCCAGCAAACTCAATATTTAATCAAAATTTCTGTGAAACAATAAAGAAGAGAAAAAAATGTACTGAACATACTGAACTTGGCATTTATTGTCCAGTTATTGTCCTGTTATTGTCCTGTTATTGTCCTGCAGATTCTAATCCGTGTCGTGCATAAAGCATTACAAAAAAGTTAATATTTAAAAAATCATCTTTTTTTTATTGATTGACGTGAAGGGCGTATCTTGATTCATTGCTCAGCCTTTTTAAAGATAAATGGAAGGATGTGTAGAAAAGATGTCAATGTAACAGCATACCAAATAAAAACAGCCTACCACACATAGAGGGAAAATTTATTCCAATTTGAGTGTTCATTTCGAATAAATGTTGCTGCGTATTACACATTTCAGGTGAAAAAATGGACAAAATTTTAATGAAATTGTATGCCTCAAGGTTCCTTACTATAACATAAATATTCTGATTAGTTTAGTGTGATGTCCATTTTCGCTGAACTAGTATACATTTGTGTTTAGGGGTCAGCTGAAGCCAGCCTCCGGGTGCAGGATTTTCTCACTGCGTTGAAGGCCCATTGGTGGCCTGGGGCTGTTTTCTGCACTTTGGTCGGGTCGTTGTCAACACTTTCTATATTTGTAAGTAATTATTACATCAGCCAATCAAATTACAGCCTTCAAATTTTTGAAGGTGGGTATCACTTTGATAAAACTGGAAGAACCCAATGAAAACCCAGAAAGAAGAGAGCATTTTCAGATCCTTGTAAACGAAGCATGGACTCTGGACCTTTTTTCAATCTGATTGTGCAAAGCCTCCAATTCTATCTGTTCTTTTTTATAATTCAGCACTCCATCAACATACTGATGAAATCTCGCAATAATTTCTGAATTTACAGTATATATTTCGAGACAATGTATAATTATTCTATATCCTAATAAAATCCTAGTATACATTGTTAACAAACAATCAATTAAATACCAAACAGACAGAATCAGAACTATATGAGGGGCAAGGGGAGATAACTTATACATTGTTTACAAGCAATCAATTATACCAAAGAGACAGAATCAGAACTATATGAGGGGCAAGGGGAGATAACTTATACATTGTTTACAAGCAATCAATTATACCAAACAGACAGAATCAGAACTATATGAGGGGCAAGGGGAGATAACTAATACATTGTTTACAAGTAATCAATTATACCAAACAGACAGAATCAGAACTATATGAGGGGCAAGGGGAGATAACTAGTACATTGTTTACAAGTAATCAATTATACCAAACAGACAGAATCAGAACTATATGAGGGGCAAGGGGAGATAACTTATACATTGTTTACAAGCAATCAATTATACCAAACAGACAGAATCAGAACTATATGAGGGGCAAGGGGAGATAACTAATGCATTGTTTACAAGCAATCAATTATACCAAACAGACAGAATCAGAACTATATGAGGGGCAAGGGGAGATAACTAATATTGTTTACAAGCAATCAATTATACCAAACAGACAGAATCAGAACTATATGAGGGGCAAGGGGAGATAACTAATGCATTGTTTACAAGCAATCAATTATACCAAACAGACAGAATCAGAACTATAAGAGGGGCAAGGGGAGATAACTAAGCTGAAAGTTACTTTTGTTTTATTGGTCTATTTATGTGAGGCTAAAAGAATACTGAATAGACAACATGTATAGGTAACTTTTAATCATATGTATAATTAACAAATAACATGAAAACAATATTTAATTTCAATTTTGTTCTGCAATACTTTGTTCATTACTCATATAACAAACATATAATTTGTTAACTCTCAAAAATTAATAAAGGAAATCTCAGTCAAACTCTAAAATAGTTATAATAATTTTTAAAAATATGGACTGCATTTAAAAATACCAATGGAACATTCATGATCTGACTTATGATCTACATAGCTATGGTTGCACACTTGGTCATTAATTCTCTAGGTTATAAATAAAATGGACATGTCACCACAAGTCACTGGAGTCAGTAATTTGCCCTCACAGAATCTAAAGGACTAATTTCATTGCTTGTACCCTAAGGGAGCTACCATTTGATTTTTATGGGGGGCTAGGATGAAAATATTTGTCCTGCCTTTTATTTTTCCCTCTATTCGATCCTGCCTTTTTATTTTTTACTCTAATCGGTCCTGCCTTTTTTTTTTTTAGTTTATCCTGACTTTTTTATTTAACTAAATTGTCATCCTGCCTTTTTTTTTACTCAAAACTCCTGTCCTGCCTATTTTTTTCAAATTTTATCCTAGCCCCCCCCCCCCCCCCCCCCCATAAAAATCAAATGGTAGCTCCCTAAAATGAAAATATAGGCAGCTCATTGGCCGAATTTTTATTATTGAGGATGTTGTTCAGCAATCAAAACGTTTTTGTATAAGCTATTAATAATATTACCCGGAATGCATTTGATTCTGAAATGGCTAATTGACTAAGAGTTGTTCTGCCTAAAATTGACTTTACCTCTGACTAGTGATGAAAAACAAAACCACAATTGCTGCTCTATAATCAAATAATAAACTTCAAATGGTATTTTTAACCAGTTTAATTCTAGCTGAATCACATAAATACATACTGTATCAAATTTAACAAATTTGATTTGGTTCCAATTCTTTTTAAACATGAACAAAACTTCAAAATTCCAGATAACCCTGACAAACAAGAACATGTGTCCATAGGATGTCACGCTCCACTTACAATGTCAAAGTTCAATGTTCAGTGAACGACAAAACCTGGGTAAAAACCATGATTTGGTATATATTTTAAAATGTTCACATCATAATGAACATGTGCACTAAGTTTCAAGTTGAATTGACAGAACCAGTCTTACATATTGTAAACTACCTTGACCAAATACTTTTGTATGAACATATGGGCAAACAGACACACTGACCAGAAAATATAATTCCCCCTGTTTTATCTTAGAAGGTGCATAAAAGGACAAATTCTTTTTCTGAAAAATGCTTCAAGGACCATTTTATTTGTAAAATGTATGCATAGTTCCATTTTATTTGTAAAATGTATGCATAGTTCAGAGGTTATTTCTCTCCTGTTTTAATACAGTTTTAATAAGTTATGTATCTACGATATAGAAAATACCTCCCTTCTAAACTATAATTTTGCATTTAAGCTTAGTATTTAAAAATTTTGTCATATTCTCCAATTTACCATAAGAATGCTCAAAGCAAAAAGCTTAAAAAACAAGGGTAAGTTATATGAGTCTAACATCATCATTCTTAAGGTCTCATCAATTTCAAACCATTAAAAAAGTTAGAAAAGCTATAAACAAGACTCCCTCTCCAATATAGACACATGATAGATACAGCAAAGTCCATGTTTTTGTGAATAAAAACACCAAAAATTATTTGATTTAGGTTTAAAAAATTATATGAAAGTTTTATTATTTTATTTGGTGTAGGTGACACTTTGGTAAAGTCCAAGGTTTGCAAAGGGAAATACGAAAAAAAAAAATCATCTGCATTAAAAATATAAGATGAAAAGAAAACAAATAGGTGGTGCACAATCTCATTTGATACTAAACAATTTGTGAAAGTTACATTGGAATTGATTCTTGTTACTGTGGATTCATTAATATTCGTGGGATACTAATGTTCGTGGATTTCGTGGTTACAGCTGAACAACTAATTTAAAGATTCAAAGAAGTACAAATATTCTACGGGCTTATATGCGAACCATGCCAAACCCACGAAATAAAATACCCACGAATATACAATATTTCCTCAATCCACAAAAATTGGTACCCACAAAAATAAATAAATCTACAGTAAAGACAAATTTTAGAATACAAAAAGCATATGAACTGATAGCAATGGTCAATTTAAACAGCGGCTTCAGTAAGTGGGGTTTAATATTTTTTAATAAATTTTTAACATATTCAATACTATCACAAAATTATGCCCTCGTTTGATCAAAATACATAACAATTACATAAAAGGTCTCTCTCACAATAGAACTAGTAAAAGTTTTTAGTCTCTTTATTCTAACCTATTTTTCAGGTCACATGATTAATTTCTAGATTATGCTGAAGAAAGATTTTAAGGTTTTCAAAAAAACTTTCCTGAAATTAAATAAGAGTAACTTTGAACTTTGATGAATTTTTATCAGCCCATTTTTATAAAGCTGTCACTGATTCAGACCTGATGCCTGTTCCGCCATAAAAACAAAGAAAAAATTTTATTAAGGTAAAATTACAGCCAATTTTGTGTCAAATTATGGTTCCTTTATTCCTAATTTTCTGGAGTGCACCCCTAACATTAAATTCTGTAAAGTGTAGGTAGATATCAATAAATAATCACAGTGTTCAATCAACACTATATATAACAATGTTTCTATTTATAGCGATCATCATGCTAATGGATCATCAAAAATGTCTTCAGTTGTTGTAGTCGTTTTCTTAGGTTTTTCTTTCTTTTGTTTAGTTGTTGGTGATGCTTCAGCAAAAATATCATCTGAAAAAAGCAAAAATTCTTAAATATTTATATCTTCAATTTATCGAATTCATATCTAAAATAGGATATCTTTTAAAATGGTAGGTTTGTTTCTTTAGGTAGCATTAAAACTGTTCCCAATTGAAAAGTTGGTGTCATCACGTTTGTCTTGTATTAGGTTCTATAGCAGAATTGTCAAAACCTAAGATTTTTCTACCGTTTACATTACTTATTCTCCATGCTCAATTGAAAGATCAAATACATTCTCATTAAACTGAATTTTTTCTACAAAAATGGGAATCATAGATATGTTCTGTAAATTTTTTATATCTGAATTCTTGGATTAATTATTCTATTACTTGTTTATCAAGCATATTCAGCGCTTACTGGTAGAGTTTATATCTGAATTCTTGGATTAGTTATTGTATAACTTGTTTATCAAGCACATTTAACGCTTATTGGTAGAGTTTATATCTGACAAAACTTTCTTATAAAAGAAGAAATTATTCCTAACCATTATCATCTTTAAATATGCTCTTTTTGGTAGCTGCTGTTGTTTTCTTTTTTTTCTTCTCCTTTGGCTTTGCTGCTGGTACATCAGCAAAGATATCTGTGTCGTCTTGGAATAAATCTTCATCTTTTGTCTGAGCCTTTTTTGTTTTTTTCTTTGTTGTCTTTGAGGCAAATAAATCATCAGCCTAACAAGAGAAATTGACATTCCTTACACCTAACAAACTGTTATTGAATTTTTAGGTGAATATAAAACTTTAGACTGGTTTTAAAGCTGCTGTCATATCCGCAAAACAATTTCACATTGATTGAAAGAAAAACTTTTTATGTCAAGGATTTGAAATAAAAGTATGCTCTGAGGTTCAAATAAACATGTACTATTATTGCTGATTTTTCAACTGTATAAATGGTAAGAAAAAATATCTTTAGTAAAAGTTACCTTGATCTTCCACCCATGGACCCAAAAAATCAATAGGCCTTGTCCCCTTTCCTATATCTTCTACCTGTTTAAGTTTCATTCCAATCAATCAAGGGAAACTCTAGTTACCATCCGGGAACCATTATTCTAAAATTGTTCTATTTTTTGAAACAGTGACCTGTTGACCCCCAAATCAATAGACTTCTTCTCTTTACCTTAATCTTCCATCTGCATATGTTTCATTCAGTTGAAGCAAGAGAAACTAAAATTACCATCCAAAGACCATTTTTCATTTTTTTTCTATTTTTAGTAATAGCGACCTTGAACTTTTGACCCCAAAATCAATAAACTTCTTCCCTTCCCTGTACCTTTCATCTGAATAAGTGTCAATTCAATCAAGCGATAATCAAGTTATCATCCAGAAACCATTTGTTTCAGCCAAAAGGATGGTAGGAAGGAGGGACAAAGCAAATTATAAATGCTAGCATAAAAACCTGGCCACTGGAACACATACAAAATTTCAAATTGGTACTACTTTGACCCCTTTCAATTTTACTTTTGTGAAAGAAAGCACTTTTTTTTACCACAATCAACAAAGTTATTCTAAAAGCAATTAAGTCTAAGTAGTTTTGGAGTAGTTTTCTCCATCTGATGTGTAAACATATTGTAAGACATGTTAATTTTTTTGGAAAAACAAAATTTTCAGATTTGTTCGTTGCAGGATGTTCAAGGAAATATTACTGTGTATTCAATTATTTTGTTGGGTGTCAATTTTCATGGATTTAGTAAAAATTGTATTCTCAGGCATATTTGATTTCATGGTTTTACCCAGTTCTGCCTTCAATATCAAAATAAGGAGATGAGGTATGATTGTCAATGACACAATTATCCACCAAAGTTCAAATAAAGTGGATGTAAGCAAATATAGGCAACCATATGGCCTTCAACAATGAGAAAAACCCATACTGTATAGTTGGCTATTAAAGGCAATTTGTACCTCCTACAAGTCCTAGAGCATTCAAGTTTTATTTTTCATTCACCCGTGATAAAAACTGGTACCCACGAATAATTATGAATCCACAGTAAACTTAACTGTAAAATGAAATCAGTTAATTTCATGATTATTCATGCTCAATTGTTGAGAAAAAGTTTAAGTTCTTCAGACCCTATCTATTGTTGATGATGGAAGATGACCTCTAAATGCCTCCTTATTTTTCTGTGTCACTGAGTTTCTGCTGTTCTGGTCATACAAATTTGACGTACAATTATCATACTCAGACTCAGAATTCAACCAATCAAAAAAATAGATTTGCTTTTCGAGTACATATTTTGTACTCTGAGCACAGAGTAAAGTTTTATGACCTAACACACTGAAGTATACCCCACATCACCTTTCATTCATGCTTGTTATATGAATTCAGGATGACTAAATATTAATAGCGCTTACATTTTCGTCAATAGCATTTTTGGATGAATCTGTTGTCTTTGTATCTGTTGACTTTGGAATGGCTGTAAAAAAACATATACAAATTAAAGCAGGATTAACAGCAGGTTCTGGTTCATGACTGCACCAGGAAAATAGATACTGATTAGCACCACTAAAAGCACAAGTCATATTAATTAGGCAAATGGTTATTGAACAAAACCCCCTCCCAAAGATAAAAACGAAAATGGGGAAATACCCCTGACAAACAAGATACATATTCTTTTATATTCACTAGTGTGGACATAGATCAATGTGGATAGTATTTGTTTTATTTGTGTTAGTATGTTTGACAGTGTTTCTCCACCAAGTTTATGATTTGGTTGTGCTACCTTCTCCCCCCAATGTTTATTAAGCTATTTCTATTTCAATCTCATAGGGTTTTATGTTAAACTTTGTATATATCCATGATCACGATAGATATTCTCTAATAAAACACCTCAATTTACAATATGGTAGGGATACTGACACACAGCTTCAACACAAGACTTTAATTCAAAAGCCCCCAAAAAAAAACACAGGCAGATAATATTGAAATTTTTGTGTATTTTAGTTGATGTCTCATTGACCTCTACCCCACATTTATTTTATATATACATGTGATTAATGGATATCATTAAAACTTTCACATTAAGACATTCTCACCACTTTTTGGATTTAAAGATGAATCTTCAAATATATTATCATCTGCACTTTTGGTTGCTGTGGTTACAGGTGGCTCAGTAGCAGGGGTTGGTGTAGTTGCTGTGTCATTAATGGAAGATGAAGCAAATATATCATTATCATCATCAAAAATTGTTTTTTGTTTATTTTTTGTTTTCTTTTTAGATGCAAAAATATCCTGGTCATCATTCAAAATATCTTCTTTCTTCTCTGTCTTTTTGGGGACAGGGGTTTTTGCAGAAAACAAATCATCATCGAAATTAGTTGATTTTGGCACTTTAGGTTTTGTTGAAAATATATCTTCTTCGCTTGTTAAATCATTTTTCTTTGTTTCTTTTGGCTTTGAAAAAATGTCATTGGATTCAGCACCTTTCTTTGTTTCCGACTTCAATGAAAAAATATCATCACTTTTGTCATTTATTGCACTTTGGGTATCTTCTTTTGATTTTATAGGTGTAGTCTTCCTCAAGTCCTCCTCGTTGATTTTAGGCTGTACAGCAGCAGGTTTTGGAGGTGATGTGCTGAACATGTCTTCGTTACCAAACAGGTCAGAGGTCGGACGGGGGACTCGATCATTTTCAGGAATAACTGGAGGAGGACTAGTGTCGAAGGAAGGTTCTGGTGAGAAATGCCTACTGTGACGACTTGGTGGTCTTCTTTTGGTCTGTATTTTGGCCCTATCCTAGAAAACAGAAGCAAAAAATCTTGATATAATACACTGTAGTAGAAAGTGTATAAACAGAAAGAAAAAAAATCTTGTATATTTTGTCTCACTGAACTCAGATTCTCATCCAAATGTCAATTATTTAAGCCTATTGTAATTATCAATTCATGCACATATTATTAACAGAGTCAAATGATCCTTTTCACCTGAGGTAGAATAGCTTGACTTACTGGAACTTTTCCAATTAATTACCGGTAATAAATAATTACATAATCTGAAACTTTATTCTTATAACTTGCAGTAAATACTATATCTCTATAAGTTTACATATACATTTTTTTTATTAACTTCACATTATAACACAATGGAAAATACATCTTTCAGATGATATCAAATTTCACTGTGTTATTTATTGAACAGTATTTAAATAAATTAACCCATATTTTAGAATAGTTGATTCCATACCTTATTTGCACTTTGTAATGTTTTAACCTCTGCTGGCTTATCAAACCCGATAACCTCAGTTTCTAGTTTTTCACTAGGTGGGGCTGCACCTGGTAACAATGCTGCAGGGTTGATACCAAGATTCATCTATAATACAAGGTGACAGTTACATTAATAGATGTATATTTTATTGAATTGCAGCAATCTGATTGATTTACAGGCAAACATGTCATTTAAAATAAATTAAATATCCATAAGCAAGTGATGTTTTAAATCCAGAACAAAATCTGATTGCCACAACAATGAGGACTTTGAAGGAATATTTTTAAAAAAGAATTGATAAAATATTCAATTTAACTACACATTTTCTGAGCTTAGAATCAACAATATCACACACAACTAGTTCCATAAATGAACTTTTAACTCAGAAGCCTGTAGTTCAGTAGTAGTCATAGGTTGCTATCTGTCATATTTGTTTTTTTGTTTTTTGTTTTATCCCAAATTAGCCTGTCTTTCACCAAAAATCTTTCGGCTATTATTGATCATAAATATACTGAATTGTTCAAGACTTACAATCAATTTTAGTCGTAAGATGTTTTGTGAAATGCAGGCCAGGCTATTGGTTTTCTCTTTTGTATAGTTTTACATTTTGTGATGTCAGCCTTATATACCTTACGGTACAGGTTTTGCTCAATGAACCCTATACATGACCTTTAGTTATTAACATCCACCTGATTAGGACTCTGGTGGATATTTGTATCATTGGCAATCGTACCACATCTCCTGGTGGATAGTTGTATCATTGGCAATCGTACCACATCTCCTTATTTCTAAATTTTAGAAAGTATCAACCTCTCAAACAAACCCATTCAATAAATTCCGAATATGTATTGTTGAATTATAACTGGTGTTTGTTTTTGAATGTCATTTGCATGCTTTTTCAAAAGGTACATTATTAACATGAGTTTTGATTATTCAATTACTTGAAAAAAAATATAATACATAGATAATATATTTACACACATGTGACCAAACATTTTCAGAATACTATACAATTACAAAAAAAATCCAAATTGAGGTCAAATAGGAACTAAAATTATACTGAACTTAAGTAATAAAACCACACTTAAAACACTTATAGTTTCTTTCAATCTGGTTTTATAAAGTCAGTTGTATATATACTGTTAAATCAGAAATTTTTTAACTATTTTTTATTATTGCTCATTATGTGACTTGGCAAATTTCGCAAAAATCAAAAAAAATTGTGTCTTTATTTGCATGCAGCATTTCCTAAAATTGTTACAATTAATCTCCCATTTTTGTCCATTGTTGAAAAATCATAGTAATAAATACCAAAAAATTCTGAATAAGCAGTATCAATAGTTATGCAAGTGATCAGAGAGATCCATGACATAAACTCAGCTTGTAATGTTTGCTGCTTCAAGTACCGTTCATCAGGTTCACTGAATATTGATATATGTATTGTAAAATTTCAGCTGTGAATCGCATGAAGCCCTTTGTCAAGTGAGTGCAGCTAAAAAAGCGTCAAATAGTGTTGACTAGTTGATATGTGTTAATACTAATATGGTGAAGATCAATTACTGTGTACTGTGGATACAATTATTTTCATGGATTAAGGAAAACATGTGTTTTTGTTGATATTTAATTTTATGGTTTTACAAGAGTCTACATACAATCCTTTATAAAATGTATACTTCCTTTAACATTTAAAGGAGTAGGTCCAGTAAGACCCTTTTTGGCCCCAAAATATAACATGTTTTACAAATTAGAAGGTCAGGTAACAACAACACTTTAAGGAATGCTACAGAAATTTATTGAAATCGACATGTTTCGGTGGCCTAGCCACCGTCATCAGGATAGAAAACAATACCATAGCAACATTGTGACGTTTTAATTTTCTCAACCTGATTTTGAACATCAGCATGATTTTATGTATTGATTTTATGTATTGTTTTCTATCCTGGTGACGGTGGCCTAGCCATTGAAACATGTCGATCTCAATAAATTACTGGAGCATTCCTTAAAGTGTTGTTGTTACTCGACCTTCTACATTTTATGTTTTTACCGTAACGACCCTGCATACCCGAGGTATCCACATTATGGAATTGACTGACAGACGATTTACCAGGCATTGGTTCACTTGTGTTTAATTGTTTTACAAATTAGTTGAAATGTAAACTTTTGGCTATTTATTGGAAAGAAGAATACTTCTGTTCCATAAATATTGGTTGTTTTTGACAATACAATGCACATGCATCAGATACTAGCATCATAAATTCATGCAATATTACTGAAATCTTCACAATTTTAGCATTTGTGCTAATTTTAAGACGGTTTTTGTCTAAAATGGAAGTGGCCTCATTTGTGTACAGTCTTAATATTCAAATATATGTTGTATTTGATGGTAATACATAACATATATAAAGGTTGAGACTGAACACGAATGCGGCCACTTCCATTTTTGACAAAAACCATCTGAAAAGTGATGTTTTATGACATATTTGATAGATTTTTGATACTCTAGCTTGAATTTGAGCGTCTTTCATGACCATATCAGATCAAATCTTTTACATATCCTTTTTGAATCAACTTAAGTAGACACTTAAGTGTTTAGAAAATGTAAAAACTCTTTCATCAGATGTACTTCAAATTTTAGGCCAAAACTAGCCCTTATCAGGCCTACTCCTGTTTTGTTCACCTGTACCCATAAAATCTACAAAATCTATACCTCACTAAAAATAAGGAATCCACAGTAATCAATTTATCGATTAATATTCTAGGGACTTTCATGTCATGATAGGTACAATAATTCTTCTTTGGATAAGTAACAAAACTTTAATTGGACTAAACAAGTAGGGTTGAAACTTATCAATGTTGGGTCAAACATTTTAAAAGACGTCTGTGAAGTACAGATCAAAGAAATTATGACCAGGTTGACAGGTGTTTCAAAATTGATCATGGTTGGAGGGATGGGCAGCACTCAAATCAATAAATTGTGGGTGGTTGCATTTTCCAAGAATTATAAATAAAATGAAAATTTTATTTTATTGGTGGTTGAGGTCTAAAAAATGTGCCTCCCATGCCACAGCCCTGAGTATATTTGATGTCATCAAAAAAGAATAAAATATTAACACTATGTGTGGTTTCGAGATGCAGCTTTTGAAAATACATATTGGAAATATAGTGGGTAATAGGGCAGAAGTTTGTAATGCGCTGTGGGGAAAAAAGCCAAATGGGTCACAAAATATATAGAAAAGTTGAAAATGTGATCAAATATCTTTAAAAAGGGAGGTAACTTCTACTCTCCGCAGTCATTTGTAATGCACTAGCTGTGTAGGATATAACTAGAACGGTTACAAATATATGGACAAGTTCTAAAAGGGAGGTAACTTCTAGTCTCCACAGTCATTTACCTGTAACTTTCCTATTTTCCCAACAGCTTTTGGTGGAGAACTTGGTGCTATAACGTTTACCGGTTTTTTGTGCTAATGAAAAAAAAAAAAAAAAAAAATAAACTCAAAGATATAAACTAAAACTACAAAATACATTTATAAATTAAGGCAAATTGTATTAAAAAAGCAAAAGCACAACATGATTAATGTTAATTTCACTAAGGGCCTAGAAACAGTAGATATTGTATACTGATGTTTCTGTGAAGTCATGAAACAAGTCAATTTTGATATGCACTCTCCAAATATGCAAAGCACAGGACAAGGTACATTTTTTGGCTTATTTGGCCCTTTAAATTCACAAAATTTTGAAACATTGCATGATGTCATTACTATTGTAAGAAAGATTTTTTGGAAAATAGGCTTATTGTAAGAACATTAACAATAAGAGCACAAGCGTCCCAAAGATAATTTTTTGCCAATAAATAGATTAACACAAAATACACTTACTATATATATTTATATATAAAGATCTTTTTGAGCTACAGTTGTGCTTTATATTATTTGTAAGCATGTGCAAGTCAAATAGTTAAGATTTGGCATAATTTGGCAATTTTACTAAATTAATTGATCAGAAAATCTGAAATACAGTACATGGCCAAATGTATTTGTCACTTATGATTTTTCACTATAAATTTCATATACAACTACTTTTTTCAAATAAAAACATTGTGGGGACATTTCTGGTTGGATTTTAATCAACTTGGTACACAAATGTACCAATAGAAGACGAATTATCACAGGCTTATTTGTTTATTTAGTTATATTTTTGGTTGTGGAGTGTTTTCAATTTCTGATGATATTAACACAAGTAGTATTTTTTGTTCCTGAATTTGTTATACATTTCAACTAAATTAAATAGTAAAAAATTATTATACATGTTCATTCAAGAGAAAAGAAAAAATATGATGACAAAACTATGACTAAATAAACAAATATACTTTAGACAATTCTGCATTCTTTAACACCTTGTTTATAAAATCCAACAATAAATACCTTCAAAATATTTTTTTGAAAAAATGTGGTTTAATATGAAATATAGAGCAAAAAAGGAAAGGTAACAAATACTTTTTGCCATGCACTGTAGTTTGAAAAATATTTGATGTCAGGGCCAATTTGACCCCAAATATTATCATTTCGTTATATGTACCTTTCATGATTTACTTTTCATTTTAACCATGTTTAATGTAAAAGCAAGATATTTCATATTTCAATATTTATAAAAAAAAAAAATGTATATGAAACTTGATAAATATTGTGGTATGTATGCAAAGAAGAAAAAATTAACAAGTTAAAACACGTTGAATTTAGAAGAACATGGTACTGTATCATATGCCCTTAAAACATAACACACTCTCATCTTATTCTTAAATTTTTATTATTGTCCGTAATTTGTAAAACATTAAAATCTGGCATGTTTACATTTAAATTATCTCTGAACGTTCAATTTTATTTTCAAAATTTCAAATAATTTCAAACTGACCAAATGAAAGCTGAAGGTATCCAACTTTGACTTATTTTCACAATTTTGACAGATGAATTCATTCATGGGGAAATTGAATTATTTTGGCTCCAATGATATTTTTGATAATTTTGTGAGGCGACAAAAAATTAATTTTGATGTGAGATCAAATCATCTTGGAGCCTCTTTTATGAAAGTACAAATAGAAAATGCTACAAAAAAATATTAAACAACCCTCAACAGAAAAAACAACAGTAAAACAAACAAAAAACCAAAGCAAAACACAACACAACATCTAATAATCTAAGTGATAAAACTTATTGCAATAAGATACGAACCTCATCTGAATCTGGAGATGACATGACCGTATTATCTCCATCTGAAAGATTATTCTTACATGGTACAAAACATTCAAAAACTTTTTTCATATTAGAAAACATATATATAGCTACATTGTAGCTTCTAGTTGAAGTTTTTGCTTTCACTTTTCTCTTGTTTACTTTATGACGTCATATTCACTTGTTTACTTTATGACGTCATATTCACTTGTTTACTTCAGGACATCATATTCACTTGTGATCATGATGTCATATTCACTTGTGAACATCATAACGTAATAATCTCTTGTTTTTTTCATGATGTCACAATGTTAGTATATATGTAATGTCATTATTTGATAATGTTGTACTATAAATTGAAGTATTCTCAAAAGTAGAACTTTCTTATTATCCTTAAAATTTGCTTCAAAATGATGACAAACAGAAGTTTTTTTTAACTTTTTGAGTTATGCTCTTCAAATGTTTTGAGTACACACTCGTGGTAAAATACTAATATATTGTATATCAGCTGATCAGAAATGTCATGATAATCCCACGTCTTATACTTTTAATGCATGAGTTATCTGAGGTCAGTTGGTGAAATGACATCATAGAGCAACCATCTAACTGTGACCTAATAACAAATGCATTGTACAGGAAAATGCACTCATGTAAAAGTCATTCAAACATGGAAACATGAACAAATGAGATGATACCAATTTGTTGAAAGTCTAATATTGATATTGTATAAGATACATTATATAGGGCAAAGGACAATTTTTTCAAACAATTATATAGATCGCTATCTTGCAATTACATATTAATTTTAAAGAAATATTTATGAATTAGTTTTGAAGTATGATCATTCAAATCATTCAGATAAAGTTTTTCTCCGATTTTATATGCATTGTACACAAATTTAAATGTACATCTATTTTAAGAATATTCATTCAAAAATATTAAAGAATTTTTTTTTTATACTGATTACTCCAATTTTACATGCAGAAAATACATGCACAACCTTTGATATCTAAGGAAATATAAGATAAATTTACTCTAAATCAGTCAAGGTTCACAATTATGACATCACCATGCCATCACCATTGACACAATTTGCTTAGACTAAAAGTATTATTGATTTTGAATTAATCAGGTATTTTTAAATACCAAACTGTTTCATTCCGTTTTCTAAAGGGCCAATTTGACTCTTCGTGATCTTGTGACTTAAACAGCTGAATACTTTCATTCAAAGTTTTCAAATTTGGCATACATTTATCAATTTTACAAAAATAGATTAAAACAAACCTTTTTCATTTTGTACTTCAGTCTTTTTTTTATTTGCACCAAATAGGTCAGCCCCTCCAAACATGGACACAGCTCCAGGAGGCTTCTTTTTCACAGGGACAGGTAACTCTTCTGGTTTGTTTTCCACAGGCTTGGAATCCATCTTTGATGCAGCAGACAACACATCTGGCTTGGTTTCCTGTTTTGCAGGGACCTTCTTCTCTTTAGGTGCAAATAGGTCATCTTCATTATCATCATCAAACAAAGAATCTATAATGAATATCCTTCTTTAATCAAACTCCTTGCTTCCAGACAAGTCTTTTTAATATTACAAAAAATAAATGAATACAATAGAAATAGAAATCATCACATATAAAGAAAGAAAATATAATATTATCAGGACATAACTTTCAATGTTTTTTGCATGATTTTTTTTTCAACAAAACATTTATTTTACTAAAAGGGACAGTCATGGTTAACAATAGCAGGGAAGCTTATCATTAGTAGAATAGAATCATCTATGATCTCCCCTTTGAGTGACTGGGATTAAAATATTAAAATTATTTTAGTGAGTGATTTCCAAATTTCAGAGAAATATAAACAAGTTTAAATTTGCAAACCTACACTAAATTTGATCTTTCCTATTAGAAGATTGGTTTAACATCTCTCATAGTGATTTACTTAAATAAATGGGGAATGTGTCCATGGGACACAGATGATGCCCCCTCTTGCATATAACATGATAAAGGGACATAACTCAAGAACGGTAAAAATGACGATACCCAAAATTGTAAATGATCTGAGTTATTTTGTAATAAGCATTATGTATAAGTTTCATAACATTTGGTCGAGGCAAACTTAAGTTAGAGACCGAAAACGAAAAATTCAGCAATTTTTCCATTTGTAAAGGGGCACAACTTAGAACTGTAAAAGTGACGACACCAAAAATTAAACTTATCTGTGTTTTGTGGTAATAAGCTTTGTGTATAAGATTCATAACATTTGGTTGAGGCAAACTTAAATTAGAGAACGAAAACGAAAAATTCAGCATTTTTGCCATTTGTAAAGGGCCATAACTCTAGAAAGGTAAAAGTGACGGCACCCAAATTCAAATTTGAACAGTGTTTTGTGGTATTAAACTTTGTGTATAAGATTCATAACATTTGGTAGAGGCAAACTAAAGTTAGAGATCGGGACGTAAGGACGTACGGACGTACAGACCGATATGGTTAAAACTTAATGTCCCCTCCACTACGACTGGGGCATAAAAATAATGTAATTTTGTAATTCTGAAGACTGAACAACTTCTTTTTAAATCATGGACAATTAATAAAGCTATTTGTGGATCCATATAAATTCATATAAAATAATATATCCCATCTTCAATATTTGTTTTTACCTTTCTGAGGTGAGACTTTTTCCTGCTTCTTCTTCAGAGCACTCATAGGATCCATTCCACCAAACATTGACACACCCCCTACTGGTTTCTTAGGTTTGACTGGTTCCACAGATAAAGCTGGAGGTTTCAAATTAAATAAATCATCCTCATCATCTATCATAGATAAATATTCAGTTTTTATAACATATAACATTATATGGACCACATCCACAATTCATCATGTTGAAAAAGACAATTGCATCCATTAAAGATTACGAAGATCAGGGTTACTAGCTAGATTACGAGGACTAATACTTAAAACTATCCTATCTATTTTTTTTTATTATCTTGAAGTTTTATTATTTTACTCTTTCTAGTTTTAATTTGTCTTTATCTTCCCTTTTTTCCATATTTCTTATACACATAAGTCATATTTCCAGAATTCATTACCCCTGATTAGATAAACATAATTATAGCAAATCTTATATGCAGAAATTCATTTTGCTACAAACTATATTTTTCTTCCACAATGTAGTCTAGTCTCAAAATTTCTAATCCTCAGAGCAAATAAAATTGAGTTGAATCTCACTCAGTTGATTGATTACTGTTTGTTTAATGTTCAGTGGCAAATATTTCATGCATAATCAAGACAAGGAAGCATTTAATGAATTCATCTTTGTTGTACAGTAATGTTTGAGAGTCTATGGTACCTACATTTTCTATGACATAACAAACTCAGATTATATAAGTAACCTTAGCTATAATTGTATTTAAACTAAAGTCCAGTTATATCCCACATCCCCACTTTGTTAACCCTATAACCCACATCCCCCACTGTGTTAACCCTATAACCCACATCACCACTTTGTTTACCCTATATCCCACATCTCCACTTTGTTTACCCTATAACCCCGAGCCCCACTTTATTTACCCCTATATCCCACATACCCACTTTGTATACCCTATATCCCACATCCCCAATTTGTTTACCCTATAATCCACATCCCCACTTTTTTACCCTATAACCCACATCCCCACTTTGTTTACCCTATAACCCACACCCCCACTTTGTTTACCCTATATCCCACATCCCCAATTTGTTTACCCTATAATCCACATCCCCACTTTTTTCCCCTATAACCCACATCCCCACTTTGTTAACCCTATAACCCACATTCCCACTTTGTTTCCCCTATATCCCACATCCCCACTTTGTTAACCCTATAACCCACATCCCCACTTTGTTTACCCTATATCCCACATTCCCAATTTGTTACCCTATAACCCACATCCCCACTTTGTTTACCCTATAACCCACATCCCCACTTTGTTTACCCTATAACCCACATCCCCACTTTTTTACCCTATAACCCACATCCCCTCTTTGTTTATCCTATAACCCACATCCCAACTTTGTTTACCCTATATCCCACATCCCCATTTGTTTACCCTATAACCCACATCCCAACTTTGTTTACCCTATATCCCACATCCCCACTTTGTTTACCCTATATCCCACATCCCCACTTTGTTTTCCCTATATCCCACATCCCCCACTTTGTTTACCCTATATCCCACATCCCCACTTTGTTCACCCTATATCCCACATCCCCACTTTGTTTACCCTATAACCCACATCCCCACTTTGTTTACCCTATAACCCACATCCCCACTTTGTTTACCCTATATCCCACATCCCCACTTTGTTTACCCTATAACCCACATCCCCACTTTGTTCATCCTATATCCCACATCCCCACTTTGTTTACACTATAACCCACATCCCCACTTTGTTTACCCTATAACCCACATCCCCACTTTGTTTACCCTATATCCCACATCCCCACTTTGTTTACCCTATAACCCACATCCCCACTTTGTTTACCCTATATCCCACATCCCAAAAGCATGTCATCCCCCTCTTATGTTACCTTTTGAATTTTCATTCTTATCAACAGAGACTGGTTCTTTCACAGATGTTTTCTTTGTTATGGAAGTTGAACTGAACATATCATCCTCTTCATCATCGGGTATTAATGACGATTTTGTCTCTGGTTTCTTGGTTGCTGGCTTTGGCATACTAAACATATCATCATCATCATCATCATCAGGTATTAATGAAGACTTAATGTTATCTTTCTTTGTTCCTGATTTTGGAACACTAAAAAGGTCATCTTCATCTTCATCAAACAGGTCACCAGCTGCACAGTATAATAATGATGAGTGAGGTTTGACAGCCATTAATTAAGACAACATGAGCAAAGGAGTATGTTGGGTATAAGTTAGATTTCTTATGTTTCATTTCATCAATGCAAATTTTAACTCTTAATGATATAAATGCAAGCCTGACAAATGTTCTGATTTTAACAGACACAAGAAAAGGTAGTTCAGTTTGTTTAGCTAAAAAGCAAGTTATTGTTTAAATGTAAATAGTGGAAAAAATGGAGGACACAAGTAAAATTATTTTTTTTTACATTAATTTAATCACAAAATAGAATTAAATAAAATGCTTCGCTGAGCGCAGCCTAATACGACCGCAGAGGTCAAACCCTGAACAGTTTGGGCAAGTTTGGACACAATATTCAAGCTTGATACTGTCTGAGTTTGGATTGTGATCTAATTTTTGACATAAAATAGGTTTCTGACACAAAATAAATGTGGTCAAAGATCTTACAAATCCATTGCGCATACTGTGCATTTGAAGATTTCTTCTTGAAACTTTTCAAAAATTCGAAATTTGAAAAAAAATATGAATCCTTTAAAAAAATTGTAAACAAAAAATCCCCCCCCCCAACTTATTGAAACCCCCCTTGGAGCAATAACCCCAAAACTCGATCCCAGCCTTTCCTTTGTAGTATGGAATCTTGTAGTATAATTTCAGAGAGATCCATACACTTAAACACAAGTTATTGTCTCGAAACTAGAAAAAAACCTTTTTTTGGCCCTTTTTTGGCCCCTAATTTCTACATGTTTGGGACAATTAACCCCAAACTCAATCCCAGCCTTCCCTTTGTTATATGTAACCTTGTGGTACAATGTCTTAGAAATCAATACACTTACACACAAGTTATTGTCCGGAAACTAGAAAAATGCTTGTTTTTGGCCCCTTTTTAGCCCTCAATTCCTAAACTGTTTGCCCCATTACCCTTAAAATGTTTCCCAACCTTCTACTTGTGGTATTAAACATTGTGGTACAATTTCAGAGCAATTGAAATACTTATACACAAGTTATTGTCCTGAAACTAGATAAATGCTTGTTTTGGGCCCCTTTTGGGCCCCTAATTCCTAAACGGTTGAAACCATCATCCCTAAAATCAATCCCAACCTTCCTTCTGTGGTATTGAATCTTCTAAAAAAAATTCATAGAGATCCATTCACTTAAACTAAAGTTATTGTCCGGAAACAAATGTGTCTTCGGACAACGACGCAGACAACGACGACATCATACCATTATACGATCCCAAAATTTTTTCAGCGGCCGTATAAAAATCAAAGATTGTGAAATTCTCAGAATCATCACCTACTGTGATTTCATTATTATAAGTCAGGTAGCAATTGTCATGGATTTCATGGGTATACTGTGGTTTCATTATTATTAGTGAGGTAGCAATTGTCATGGAATTCATGGGTATACTGTGGTTTCATTATTATTAGTGAGGTAGCAATTGTCATGGATTTCATGGGTATACTGTGGTTTCATTATTATTAATGAGGTAGAAATTGTCATGGATTTCATGGGTATACTGTGGTTTCATTATTATTAGTGAGGTAGAAATTGTCATGGATTTCATGGGTATAGGTGAACCACAAATTTAAATACTCAAAGAAGAAAAATTTCTTGTATGCAGAATTTAGCAAAACCACAAAATCAAATATCCAAGAAAATACAATTTTCCCTAAATCTATGTAAATTGGTACCCACTAAAATAAATGAATCCACAGTTTGTAATAAAAACAATATAATCATTATTAACCTGCAGGAGGTGAAGGAGGAACTGGTCTGTCATCAGCTTCTACCTCTGGTTTGTCCTCAACCTTGACTTTAGGCTTCTCCTTCTCAACCTTGACCTCTGACTTAGAGTCTTCTTTCTCCTTTGAACTTTCTGACCTTTTTCTGTTTCTCAGGGCAGCCATTGGATCCATACCACCAAACATGGAAACACCACCTACTGGTTTCTTCTTTGGTGGGGAGGTAGCCATGTTTTCCTAAAATAAGAATTAACTGGTATTTTATAAAGTAGTGATGGTGTCAAATAGTGTACCTCCATCATTGAAGTTTGTCCTTTGTGTTCGGCAAGTTTGTAGACTAAAATGTGAGATTGCACAGGAAGTAGAAATTGGTTTAAAAAAAAACATAAATCTTAGATATGGTATGTCTTTAGGTGTAATACCACCAAATCATAGTACGTCACATCCGGTTGCATACGAAAATAGGTCGAAAAAAAATATTCCCTTGAATTTGACAGTTGTAGGTAATTGATCCTACATTTCATTGCAGTAAAACATTTCTGAGTCATAAACATATATCTTGGGTATTTCAAAGCACCATTATTTCTTTATTTGGGGTTTCTATAGAATATTTTGGAAACTTGAGGTTACATGGTTACTAAAGCTTGTACACAGGTTAAAAAAGGGGGAAAATTTGATTGGTTAACTTCCAGTGATGGTTATTTTCTTATATGCAATGAAATGTTATGTGAAATTTTTTCTATAGTACTGGACAGGATAAATCTTTACTCATGCCAAGTATTTCTTTATTTGAAACAAAGACACATTCTGCACAATTTTTTGAAAAGTGCAAATTTAACAAAGACTAATAGGGGAAAATCAATGGTGGTATTACACCTAATATGGGAAGCTGTACATGCACCTTTGACCTTGTGAATACTCTCATGTGTTAAAATTTCTTGCTATTTAAGTGAAATATTACAAATAATGAAATATTCTGAGTGGATTGAGTCTCCAAAATACATTTTATGAGAAAATTTCCTTGAAATAGGACTTTACCATGAATATTAGTTGACAGAACAAGCCATACTTAGAGTTTTGGGGAGCTTTTTCTCCTTATTTCTTATATTCTGCTATACTAGAAAAATTTTCCTAAGAAATACTTTAATAAATATATAGTTTTAAGTAAATGAAATTATTTTTAAAGCAGTAACAACAAATTATTCACCAAAAGAGAAGTTTTTTGTGTCCCTCTCTGGAACGCGGCGTAAATTTAAGTTTTACGTAAGGACTTATTGAAAACTCCTTGGAGACAGTAAACTTTTATACGGATAGTTCATTCAGCTTGAATACTTCAATTAATCATTTATAAAAACATTTCTATCATAAATGAGTGAAAGTTACCCCAAAATTTTTATTTATTGGCCTAAAAAGTAGAAATTTTGAGGAAATGAGAGGTATAAATGGACCAAAAGAGACCTTATAAGGAAGACAAAGAGGTCCATTAGTAGTATTTATCATCCTAAAGTCATCTTTTGTATCATATTCAACTGTTTGTAGGCAGATGAGATAAATATTTGATCATTTATTGGTCCACACTATATTCTATCATGATGCGGCTTGGTTTGGATTTTTCGAAGAAATTTTGCTCGAATCGCTGTAGATGTCGTCTTACATTATACTAGATTTTTCTCAAACTATTGAACCGATTATGACAAAACTTGACAGGAATGCTTGAAATAACCAGTATTACAAAGGAAAAAAGTCACATTCAGTTTATTTAACAAAAAAGTCTTCTTTAGGTGTAATACCACCAAATCATAGTACGTCACATCCGGTTGCATACGAAAATAGGTCGAAAAAAAATATTCCCTTGAATTTGACAGTTGTAGGTAATTGATCCTACATTTCATTGCAGTAAAACATTTCTGAGTCATAAACATATATCTTGGGTATTTCAAAGCACCATTATTTCTTTATTTGGGGTTTCTATAGAATATTTTGGAAACTTGAGGTTACATGGTTACTAAAGCTTGTACACAGGTTAAAAAAGGGGGAAAATTTGATTGGTTAACTTCCAGTGATGGTTATTTTCTTATATGCAATGAAATGTTATGTGAAATTTTTTCTATAGTACTGGACAGGATAAATCTTTACTCATGCCAAGTATTTCTTTATTTGAAACAAAGACACATTCTGCACAATTTTTTGAAAAGTGCAAATTTAACAAAGACTAATAGGGGAAAATCAATGGTGGTATTACACCTTTAGGCTATACTGTAAATTAAGAAACTGTCTATATGACAGATTTATCAATAAATTTCATTAATTCTACATACAAATAATTCAAGTACATTGTAGAATTTAAAATTCAAGATATGACTATTGTAATGTTCACATTTTTTGCAAAAATGAAAATATTTGTGAAATCACAGTACTGATCTAACTAACCTCTGTCACAGGACTTGATTGTTCTTCATTTGATACTATACTGCCTTTCTTCTCACTTATCTGAAAAAAACAAAAGTTTTGGTAGAAATGGCAATCAAAATAACCTGATTTAAAAATAATAATTTTCAATCATTATATTACTTACATGTCTAATTTAAGACTTTATATTGACCTCCATATGTCTTTCTTGTTTATTTGTCATGTTTGGTTGCTGTAACTTAACATTTCAAGGCCTTTTATAGCTTACTATGCGGTATGGGTTTTGCTCATTTATGAAAGCCCTACAGTGACCTCTATAGTCATCATTTGGTCTCTAGTGGAGAGTTGTCTCATTGGCAATCATACCCTATATCTCTTTCTATCCATTATACTGCATATGTAGATATTATAAGAAGATGTGGTATGAGTGCCAATGAGACAACTCTCCATCCAAGTCAAAATTTATAAAAGTAAACCATTATAGGTCAAAGTAAGGTCTTCAACATGGAGCCTTGGCTCACACCGAACAGTAAGCTATAAAGGGCCCCCAAAATTACTAGTGTAAAACCATTCAAACAGGAAAACCAACGGTCTAATCTATATAAAAAAACGAGAAACGAGAAACAGGTTTTCACTGCTGATATTATTCATCCAATTGCTCTTTGCCCAAGTCATGTACCTGATACAAGGGTGCTAATGTTTTTGTCACGATCGTTTGCTGAAATCTAAGGTTTTTCTTTTACTTTCACATTTATTCCTATGAAATAAAGGAAATGTATGGAAAATTTCAAGGTGAAAGCAAACCTATACAACAAGCATTTCAAATATAATTTAGAGGTTACCAAATGGTCAAAATATTGGCAGGAAGTACCCATACCCTATGTCAAGCTCCAAATTTACGGTAGTTTTGATAAAAACTAGAACTGAGAGTGGACAAAAAAATAACCACCAACCCAACAAAACTATTACCACATGTATCAAAGTTCTAAAATCCCCTTAAGCACTGGGTTGAAACTGATACTGGTGGACTTTTAGTCCAGGGGGTATTATCAGCTCAGTATTCAGATAAATCACCACATATCAATATAATACACTTGAAAAAATATCTAGGATACAGAAAGTTGACCTTAGAAGGATTTGGCTATTAACCCTTTAGCTCTTCACATTTTTTCTGTACTTTTTATAAACCCAAGATTTTCAAATGTTTGGCTTTGAGTGTACCTGACAAAGGTTAATCCAGAAAAGTACTTCAAATGTATAAAATTTATAAATGGTTATTTTCATTTTTAGGACCAAATCATATTCCTTTAATAGAAAAACAAAGGATATGGGATATTCATCCATGACACATAATCAGTACATGCACAACAAGAAACACAGAAAAAGCAAAGGAACAGATCTTTTTATTGCTGTTCTTCATCTCAAAGTCTTCATCTAATGTTGGATATGTCTATCCAGGTAATTAGGAGGAGATGCACATGTAAGGCACGTAGACAAACAAACAAACAGACAGATGTTTTAACCACAACTATCCTAACCCCCAACTAAAAACCAAACAAACCTTTTCCCTTAAAATACAAAAATTGTAACTCATAATAAGTAAATGCAGTACATAAAACAAACCTGTAATATTTGTACAATAAATCCAGTACCATGTCTAAAACCACTGACTATAATATTAGTTATATTTACAACATTGATATTACAATTAGCACAGTTCTGGTCGTGTATATGATGCTGTAGATTACAACTGTTTTGTTTATGTTACTGATAAAGCTATTAGCAGCAGTGCTGAATGAGGATTATGGCTGTATAGTAAAACATAGCCAGATGTAGTCTGCATTGAGGCTCGTTAATTCCTAATCATTATCAGATAATTAGTAGCTACCTGAGGTGTGTACCTTGTTTTTTATCAGATAAATCACTAAGATTCATTCATAAAACATATAAAATCAAATGTTATACTACTTCACTGAACTACTTAAAACAGGCATTAAATAACATCATTTAATGTTGTACTTTACTCTTTACATAAGATGAAATTTAAAACCATTTGAGATTTGAAAACATTTGCTTGAAACATTGACTAATTGGAGATGAAGACGCAATAAGAATAAACTGTAAATACTATTGATATTAACTGTAATATTCAGAACAGAAGAACTAATTAAACCCTCCCCCTCCTTTCCTAATCAAAAACATTCGAATTCGAAGAACCACAATGACAATGTTATACCTTCTAGGGGTGACAACTTTGGTTCTCAAGAACTAATTAATAAACATGAAAAATATTTTGTTTCAATTAAAGTTTAACAGATGTTTCAAAACGTTTATGGCAGACCTATAACTAACAAAAACTCATATTAGTTTAATTGTATTGCACAGAAATATATCATTTTACAAGAGATATAGCGACATCAAAAAATTAATGTGCATTCAGGTACCTGATGTTATTAATTAGTATTTAATAATCTGATAATTCATTGGAAGTTCAACAAAACAGTATATAATTCTGATGTTTTAAAGTACATAAATAAAGATTTATATCTAGTTGTTATAATATAGAAATTGTACTTACAGTTCTGTAGAAAGAATATCTTTACTAGTATATAGCATTTTAAGTCCATAAATTGTAAATATCAGTTTAAAAAAATCATTTCAAATGCACAAGTTGTAAATAACAGTTGATGTTTCAATACAGGACAATTAATTTTAAAAAAGTCATACAAAGGAAGTGCATACTTCATATTATCTGCATGGATACAATAAATTACCTAACAACTAGTGTTAAATCTTTACTTATGTACTATTTAAGCATCTGAATTTAATACTGTTTTGATGAGCTTCCAATGAACTATCAGGTTATAAAATACAATATATTGTGTACCTATTTTTGTTAAAAAAACAATATTATAGTGTGTACCTATTTTTGTTAAAAAAATAAAATTATTGTCCAAAATTAAACTACTGTCTAAAATTATACAACTATGACTGGAAATGCATATAATTATTAATTTGGATGCTATTTAATGAAAATAACAATTAATAAATATTGTGTGTGATATATTATCATCTTATGATATATCCCAGGTTAAAAATTACCTTCAGACAAGGTGTTATAAAACACAAAATGAAATGATTTTTAACATTTATTCTTATTTCCATATATACTGTAATGAAGGCAAGATATGATCAAGGTATTTGACAATTTAGTAACCTTTTATCTTTACTTTGATCTTTATGGATTGCACACAATTGACTGTACTGTAGTAATTCACACTTAACTAATTTAAGGAATGAAGAGAAAACTTCTCCTTTAAAAATCTTCATTTTTTTTTTTTTTTTGAAGATGGGACAATTTGTTTTAATATATGATTAAAACTCTTTTTATGTAGATCTATGAGCAATTATCGCACCTTGGATAAATTATGAGGTCATTACTATCAGTTTAACTCCACCACATGGTGTCCCCCTATTGATCCATATGGGGTCAATAGATTTCATATGGGGTTCATGACGTCATATTTACTATTAATGTTGACGTCATTGATTAATGTTATTGTATTTCATTGCTTATTTTTATACAATACTTAGCAGGAAAAGTCCCATGTGCGATAAATTAAGTAAAGTTCATAGTAGATTCAGCCTTTGGCATCACCCCAATCGATTTTACTAATCCTCTGTCATGTCTATGGATCTGTAGAGGGTCAGAGGCAGAAAGAGCTTGACATTATGGTAAAGATATATCTTGATTATTGAAGACCAAATGTTGACCTCTTGGTGTTTTTTGTTTGTTTTTGTTTTAAGGAGTTGTTATCACATTGTTGTTTATCTTATATTACTTTTTATTCATAAAGATTAACAATACATTGTTGTCTCAGAAAATGTAAATATTTATTTGAAAGTTGTAGAAGTGTGAGGCTCACCTTGCATTTTCATTAATGTCATGCTAAATATGAAAAAAACCAAAATGCATGCAATAGTGTGTTTAAATGAGGTTGTGGATGGGGGTTTACAGAATAGAGAATAATGGGCAAAAAATATAAAGAATAGAGAAAAAAGGACCATAAAATTAAAGATTGAAAATAATAAGGTGCTAAAATATAAAGAATAGAGAATTATGGGCAAAAAGTATAAAGAATAGAGAAAAATAGCCTAAGAAATTAAAGAATACAGAAATGGAGGACCCCAATCCAGACCCTGTTACATATTATTCAAAGTATCACAAAACAGAAAGTAGGTGTCTATCATATTTGAAAAGCACAAACACTTTTAAACTGATCACCGTCAAATAACAGACCAAATATTAAGTCATTCTGTTTATCAGTTTCTTAGAAAAGTGTGATAAAAATTTTAAGTTCGTTAAATGTATTAAAAAAGTCTAGCTATCAGTATCAACAAACAGGAAGTAAGTATCTGATAGTTTCCAAAAAGTCCCCACACCTTAAAAAATTGTCACTGTCAAGCTGCTGAATAAATATGAAGTCAATCTGTTTAGTACTTTCTGAGAAAAGTGTGACCAATATATTTTTGGAAGAATGGATGAGTGGGAAAAATTGAAGGACGGACAGACAAGGTATTTGCAATATGTGGGGGTATAACATTACATTTGAGACCATGGCTAGCTATACCTTCTAGATTGTAGTGCAGCTGCTGAGAGATTTTTGGATTTTTTTTACTGTAAATTCAGAAATTATTGGTGCATTTATTATTGTAATTTTTTAAGAATAGACCAAACTGTGAGATTAAGGTGGTACCCAACACCTTGACTAATATTAATTTGGCTCGTTTAATTTTCATAAAATTTTGACAAAATGTTTTCTTTGACCCTTTGACAAAAATATAAAAATTTCAAAAAATTTGAACCAACCACTTTATCAGAAAAATTTCATTGGTTATATAGCAGTTTGACAAACACTAATTTTGATCATTGAGAAGCTTAATATTTCCTTAACAATACAACGTAATTAAAACGTTTAGCTGATTTTTACAGAGTTATCTCCCTGTAGTGTTAGGTACCACCTTAATCATTGTGATTTCAGTAAAATCTACATACAGATTTATGTATCAAATTCAGAATG